ACAGTTTGTCATTTTGTAATAAATAAACAATGACCTTAATTGTTTGAATAACCACTGAGACATGATATACTGTTTGAAAAATATTGCCAGTCATTATCGAAAAATCATTGAGTTTTACAAAACTACTATGATGTCGAAATGTCTTGATATATTGTTTCACATAACATTCAAACACTTTTTTTCGGAGGTACATCAGTTCATATTAAAATTATGCGTGATATGTTTTTAACAGATTAACAAACCTTTATTATATTAAATTTATATATTGACAATTATTAATAATTAATAATATTCACTTGTTTTATGTTATTGGACCCAAATTCAAAATTACAAAAACCCGAAGTAAAAAACAAAGAAATAATGAAGTTTAATGTATGCACCAATTGGTACAAGACAGGTTTTACATTTAACGTTAACTTCTTAAGTCAATATAACTCAAATTACAAGGAAAGCCATTGGATTGCCGCAAAAAGAGTGTTAAGGTAATTAAAAGGAACAATAAATTTGGAACTGAAATATAGAACTTCAAGGAAAGAACTGAAATGTTATACAGGTGCGGATTGGGGATCATCTATAGATGATCGGCGCTCGTATACTGGTTATCTGTTTAAAATGACAAACGCAGCAATTTCGTGGAAAACTAAAAAAGAAAGGACAAAAGAAAACAAAGAAAGGAACAAAACAAAGAAAGAAAACAAAAGTTGGCAAAAAAGAACGTTTATCATAGTAGGATTAAACACATATATATAAAATATCATTTCATAAGAAAAACTTTGGAAGATAACATTATCGATTTAAAGTATAGTCAAACAGAAGAAATGATTGCTGACGTGCTAACAAAGCCGTTTCCAAAACCAAAATTAGAATACTTTATAACTATGATTGGCCTTGAGGGGGAGTGTTGAAATGTTATATTTATCATAAAGCAATCCCAATCAAGATGGCATTAATGCCTATTAAAATTATGCGTGACATGTTTTTAACAGATTAACAAACCTTTATTATATTTATACAGTGCGTTCACGATGAAAGGAATAAATTCGATAAAATTTTAGCAATTGCTCTTTGGCAAAAATGCTCGAAATGGTCAATTTTAAATTTTCATTTATTTTATATCAAATACAATATCCTGTATATTTTCATGGATTTGGATAGAGGATTAAATAAGCTTTTCGGTAAACCTCCCCAAAAAAAACGAATGCTCAAACTGTTGCCCATCTACTTCAAGACATTTACGAAGTCGAACAATTATTGAGTCTTGGACATTCTCCAACATTTCGGAAGCAATTAAACGAATCTCGTTACGTATCCGCTCTTTTAGGTCATTTAAATTATTCGGCCTGTTGAAATAGACTTTGGATTTTAAATAGCCCTACAAGAAAAGGTCTAATGGGGTTATATCGGGTGATGTAGGCGACCAATCGATACTTCCCCTCCTTCTGATCCATCTGTTAGTGAAAGTCTCATCTAAAAATCGTCGAACATTCAGTGCGTAGTGTGGAGGCGCACCATCTTGCTGGAACCACATTCGGTTATCTGGTAAGTCACTACTCTCTTGATTGGGAAAGACCGCAACTACTGCGAGAATCAATTCTAACTGAAGAAACTCCAAATAGCGTTGCCCGATCAACGTTTCTTCAAAAAAATAAGGTCCCAGAATTCGGGTACCAACAATTCCCGCCCACACATTAAATTTCTGTGGATTCTGAGTATGTTCTTGCATCCAATGTGGATTTTCTGTCGCCCAGTACTACAATTTTACCTATTAACGGAACCATTAAGCATGAACGTCGCCTCGTCAGAAGAAATGATGTTTGCAATGAAATTAACATTTCCTGCGCTAAGTGTAGTTTATAAGGGTGGTACTTAGCCGCTCGCAATGTAGTTGAAACGGTTCCTAATCCAACATCAAAGTCTCGTGATATTTGTCTCTGAGTGACATGCGGATTTTCTTCAGCTGCTAAGAGGATGTTTAGTTTAGTATCTTTAAAACGATCTATTCGGGGTGAACGGTCAAATAAGCACAGGAACAACTTTTTACAATTTGCTAATATATTTCGGTTGTCGAATTACAACCTTCATCAGAGCGAATTTCATTTG